AAGGATAGATGGACAGAGGGATAGATGCATGGACGGGTGGGTAGATAGACAGAGGGGTGAGAGGGAGGGTAGGTGAATGGGACAGGATGGCTGAGTGAGTGGTTGGAAGAATGGGATAAACTGAGTTGATCAGTAGACGGGTGGGAGGGTGAATGGGCAGATGGATGGGTGGGTGGATGGATGCGTGAATGGGTGGAAAGGACAGGGAAGCAGATGGGTGCATGCGTGGATGGGTAGGGAAACGGGCGGATGAACTGATGGATAGATGCATGGATGGGTGGGGGGATCGATGGATGGGTGGGTGGGCGAGCGGATGGACAGGATGGATGGGTGAGTGGATGGAATAGGACGCGTGGGTAAATGTTGGAAGAATGGATGGGACAGGAAGGACGGATGGATGGATGGGCAGGAGACTGGGTGGGTGGATGGGACAGAGAAATGGGTGAGTGGACGGATGGATAGGTGGACACATGGATGGGTGGATGGGACGGGAAAATGGGCAAGTACGTGTCCAGATGGGCAGGGAATCAGAGTGGGTGAGCGGATGCATGGAGGGGTAGGCGGTGGATGGAGGAGTGGACGGGTGGGCAAATGAGTGGCTGACCACTGTCTGCCCAAGGCTCCCATGGGAAGGGATAGGACCAGCAGGGCTCTTCAGCTGTTAGTTAAAGCTGCTAAGATAACAAGGCTTTCCCCTGAAACTGTCTCGGGCTACACTAGCTATTCCAAATTAGGGCAGTGGGCTTTCCTGGTTTCCCTGCTCCCATGACAGCCCCTCACCTCTTCCAGCTGAATTCTTCCTAAGGCCAGAGAGGCCACCAGACATTTAGACGCTCTTCCCGGGGTCATCCCCTCCTCCAAGGACCCTCAGCGCTTGGGGCTTCACACTCGCCGACCCCAAGGCAGTGGAGAAAGGCCAGAGGGGGACACATCCAGGTCCCGTGTTGGGCTTGACCCGCCAGAGGGAACGTACCAGTCTCTGGCGTTGGTGGGGAAGAAGTAGCCCTTGACCATGGCAAACGTGGACACGGCGTAGCCGAGGACGTTGGCGCACCACAGCAAGGGGATCCAGTTGTCAAAGATGATGGTGGGTGAGAACCAAGACAGGACGTGGGCGTTGGCCAACCACAGGAGGTGGGTGAGCAGCCAGGCCTGCAGGCCATTGACCTCATACTTGTTCACGATTCCTGCGGGGAAGATGCGAAAACCATGGCGTCTTCCCGGCCCGCACTGAGGGGCCCAGCTGGACGCTACACACCTGGCTAAGGCTGACTGGCTTTTGGGGCTGCTGCCTCACCCATGGTCCCCAGGGACATTCCCAAAGAGGTCAAGTTCCCAGGTCAGCTACCTCTCTTGCATCAGCAGCCGAGGGATGGACCGCTCTTGCGGAATCCCTGGGGGAGGGAATGGACATGACTCCAGACCCCTGATCCTGGGTGTCCTTAACTGGCCACAGGCTGAGTGCCAGGTCTGTGGTCTGTTAGGAAGGTTGGGACTGAGCGACAGAAGCAACCCGCCATCATCCATCCATCCTACTTATCCACCCATGATCCATCTGTCCACCCTACCACTCATCCATCCATCCATCCATCCATCCATCCACCCTCTCATCCATCCACCCTCTCATCCATCCACCCACCCACCCAC